CCCGGCCCCGGCCCTGGCCTGCATTTTCCGGACGGCTGAAAGGGGATGGTGCCCGAAAAGCGCTGGGCATGGCATGCCGTCGGTGCTGGCTGTCGTCCTTGCTGGGAAAGGGGTGGGACAGTGCAGGTGGCCGCTGGGCGTGCACACTCACCTGCGAGGTGGCCTCAGAGAGGACGGTGCTGGCAGGGGAGTTTCCCAGCTCACAGATGAAAGCTTCGAGCCCCGCACTGCACTCCCCGAGGCCCAGCTGGCCCGGGTCACACTTCTGTCAGAAACTTTCAAGGGCACCCCTGTGTCTGCAGAATAAAGGAGAAGCCCTTAGCTGGTTCAGTGCGGCCCCAACCTGCATGTCTCCTTTTATCCCTCTCATTTCCCTTTAAAACAGGGTAGTGCTTAAGAGTGTGGGTTTAAATCCCAGCTGTCACTCACTGTGTGACTGTGGAATCGACTTACCCTCTCTGTGCCCTGTTTTCCCCATCTGTCACGTTAGGGGAAAACAGCACCTACTTCATTTCCAGTCCCTCCCCTCACCCCCCGAATGGAAGTCCTCTGGTCATCCTCCTCCCCCGGCCCTCGCCCTGTGGACCAACTCCTTCTATTTTATTTGCTTCCCTCAGTCTCAGATCATGGCTATTTATATCCCTCTCTAATCCGTGCTACTGGGTGGGGAGGTCCCTAGATTTCCCAATGCTTGAGTTTGGAACTTGCACACAGTAGGTGTTCAATAAGTACACCTGGCCTTCAGGGCTGGGTGGGGCAGGGCTGCCATTCAGCTGGTATCCGAGGTGTGGTTTCGAGGGTTGATTATGTCTGGAAACCTTTCCTGGTGGAAGGGCCTTTTACGTAAACATTCCAAATCTGATCACTGCTCTGTGTGTAGGGGTGGGGGCACCTGCTCTCCTTCCATCCACCTGCCACTTGGAGCTCAACTGTGTCCCGCAAATTCATATGTTGAAGCCCTAACCCCCAGGACCTCAGAAATGACTGCACATTGGGGTCTTTAAAGAGATGCTAAAGTCAAATGGGGCCAACGGGATGGCCCTAATCCAACCCGGCCGCCTCCTCAGGAGAGAGGACATTTGGACACCCAAAGAGACACCTGGGTGCCCTCTCAGAGGAGAGACCTTGTGAGGACACAACCAGAGGCGGCAGCTGCAGCACAGAGGCCTCAGGAGGCGCCTGGACCTTGGACTTTCAGGCCCAGACGGTGAAAGAAGTTTTTGTTGCTTAAGCCGCCAGCAGGGGTATCACAGCAGCCTGACTGACTAATGAGAGCTGTAATGAGAGAAGGAACCAAGAGGCTGAGGCTGAGCCGGGGGTGAGGGGAGCGGAGGCTGGGGCCTCCCTCCCACGTCTAGTTGCGAGGCCAGGCGGGCCAGGAAGCCCCCCAGACCCCGCAGAATGATTTCTGCTCAGGGGTGAGTCTATTCTTCCTCCCGACCAACAGATTCCATGCCCTTCCGTGGAGACACACTCCATATTTAACCACCCGCCCTGCAAGTCCTGCCCCATTACCAGATTAAAGGCAATAATACATGGCATCTTAAACCTATTATTATTATTACTAGAGGCTTGGTGCACGAAATTCGTGCATGGAGAGGTCCCTCTGCCTGGCCTGCACCCTCTCGCAATCCGGGACCTTTCAAGGGATGTCCAACTGCCGGGTTAAACCGGCAGTCGGACATCCCTCTTGCAATCCAGGACTGCTGGCTGCTCACTGCTTGCCTGCCTGCCTGATCGTCCCTAACCACTCACCTGCCTGCCTGACCGCCCTAACCGCCTCTGCCTGCCTGCCTAATCACCCCTAACCCCTCTACCTGCCTGCCTGATCACCCCTAATCCCTCTGCCTGCCTGCCTCATCGCCCCAACCACTCATCTGCCTGCCTCATCACCCCTAACTGCCTCTGCCTGCCTGCCTGATTGTCCCAACCACTCACCTGACTGCCTGATTGCCCCTAACCTCTCTGTCTGCCTGCCTGATTGCCCCTAACCACTCACCTGCCTGCCTGATCACCCCTAACTGCACTGCCTGCCTGCCTGATTATCCCTAACCATCTCTGCCTGCCTGCCTCATCACCCCAACCACTTGCCTGCCTGCCTGATTGCCCCTAACTGCCTCTGCCTGCCTGCCTGAATACCCCTAACCGCCTCTGCCTGCCTGCCTCATCACCCCAACCACTCGCCTGCCTGCCTGAATACACCTAACCGCCTCTGCCTGCCTGTCTCATTACCCCGACCACTCGCCTGCCTGCCTGATCGCCCCTAACTACCTCTGCTTGCCTGCCTGATCACACCGAACCACTTGTTTGCCTGCCTGATTGCCTCTAACCACTCTGCCTGCCTGCCTGATCACACCTAACCACTCTTCCTGACTCCTGATCACCCCTAACTGCCTCTGCCTGCCTGCCTGAATACCCCTAACCGCCTCTGCCTGCCTGCCTGAATCCCCCTAACCGCCTCTGCCTGCCTGCCTGAATCCCCCTAACCGCCTCTGCCTGCCTGCCTGCCTGATCGCCCCTAACTACCTCTGCTTGCCTGCCTGATCACACCGAACCACTTGTTTGCCTGCCTGATTGCCTCTAACCCCTCTGCCTGCCTGCCTGATCACCCCTAACCACTCACCTGCCTGATCACCCCTGACTGCCTCTGCCTGCCTGCCTCATCGCTCCAACCACTCGCCTGCCTGCCTAATCACCCCTAACTGCTCCCTGGGGGGTGGGGCCAGCTGAGGCGAGGGGCAGTGGTGTTCTGGTGTCTGGTCATTCTGGTCATTCCACTATTTCGGTCGCTGGGCTTTTATTATATAGGATTTGCCTTAGACAAAGAGTGAGAGTCCAAATTTTCTTGTCCAGAAGACCTTGCATTTTCCTGCGACGAGTCCAGCAACAGCTTCCCACCCCACTTGGAGTAAAACCCAAACTCCTTCCCACTGCCTGGAGGGTCTGGCTGCCCCCTCCTGCTCTTCCCTCCCCTCTGCTCCCCCAGTTTCCAAGATCGTTTCTTGCTGTTCCCGTGTAGAGCAGTGGCCCCTGGACCGCTGATCCCCAGCCCCTGCCACAGCTCCAGGCTGTGCCCCAGGATCACACACGTGCGCTCGCACACACACACACACACACACACACACACACACTCATGCACACACACACACTCATGCACACATGGACGCATGCGTGCGCGCACACATTGGGCCTCGCACACAGCTGCTCTGACTCTGCAGGTTGAGTTGGGTTTGGTGTCTCTCTCTATATTTTTTAAACTAGAGATCTTTTAAAAAAGTGATTATTGATTTCAAAGAGGAAGGGGGGAGAGAGAGATAGAAACATCAATGATGAGAAAGAATATTTGATCAGCTGCCTCCTGCACGCCCCCTACTGGGGATGAGCCTGAAACCAGGATGCCCTGACTGGGAATTGAACCCTGAACTCCTGGCTCATAGGTCTACGCTCAGCCACTGAGCCCCGCTGGCCGGGCTGTGTATATATTTTTAAACTTCAGCACAGAGTCTGGTGCGTGGGCAGCACTGAGGCGCAGCAGCGTGGGTCTTCATGGAGCTGCTGCTTCTTTCAAGCCCCAGCTGCAGGGCCATCTCTCCGAGGGGCCCACCCTGACCCCCAGGCCCCCAGAGCTCCCTAGCCCATGGCCCTATTTATTTTCTCTGGAGACCTGACTCCATCAGAGACCATCTGATCTATTCATGTTTCCTGTCTGTTCCCTCCACCAGACTTTAAACTCCCCATGGTGTGCGCTGACTTCTAGTCCCAGCAGCACCCCAAATCCCACAGCACACCAGAGCACCTCAGCAGCATCCAGGAGCAATCCGACAGCACTATAGCACCCCGGCAGCACCCAGAGCACCCAAGCAGTAACCCAGGGGACCCAGAGCACACAGGGAACCCAGAGGACCCAGTGCACCCAGAGCACCCAGAGCACCCATGGCACCCAGAGGACCCAGGGCACCCAGAGCAACCATGGCACCCAGAGCACCCATGGCACCCAGAGCACCCATGGCACCCAGAGCACCCATGGCACCCAGAGCACCCATGGCACCCAGAGCACCCATGGCACCCAGAGCACCCATGGCACCCAGAGCACCCATGGCACCCAGAGCACCCATGGCACCCAGAGCACCCATGGCACCCAGAGCACCCATGGCACCCAGAGCACCCATGGCACCCAGAGCACCCATGGCACCCAGAGCACCCATGGCACCCAGAG